CACTATGTGCATTATAATGTTTAGAATGAACAAAACAAAGGAATTCATGTTAAAAACTGAGATGTCAAAATAAATTCTCCAGCCTTTGACCTCTTTGCGCATTTTCAGGAACATAAGCATTTCTACTTTATGTGTGTGGTGCATATTCTTCCAGTATTTGGATACTACCCCACCTACATCAAGTATTTCTCCTTTTGTTTCAAGGAGAGTGTACTACAAGCCAGAAGTTTTTAACAGAAAATCAGAACCCAGACCAAAATCAACTGCACAGGTTACTGCCAGCCTACGAGGTTTGAAGGTGGCGAGGATAAAGAGCTTAGTCCACTACCCAAATACAAAGTTTTAACTTGATGTCAGGTTATAACTTTGAAATAGTCATCGATTTTTCAGTAGAAGAAAAAACCCAAGCTAAATTGCGGTCGGGAAGATCCTTGGCAGGCAAGGACCTCTGTTTCCTAAGCCTCCCACAAGGGCCCATCACATCCAGGGAGCTACCGCAGTAATTGCACCGACAAAAATGGAAGATCGAAGAATCCACGAAAACAAACTATAGCAGCAAGGTCCCCGCACTGTGGTAGGGCGAAGCATCCCATAAACATCCCCTGCGGACATTTGCCAGTCTGCTGCTTAAAAACCCGCAAGAAAGGAGCTTTCGCACCATTAGGTGCCTGTTAGACTATTTTTCATCTTAACATTCAACAAAAATATTTTTTCTTGCAAATAAAGCTAATCCCTTCCTTCCCACAGGAAGCATCAAGAACAACTGATAAACTTTTGTTGTAGCAGTATTTTAGGTATTAGAAGGCAGAGTTCCTTCCTCAAGACTTCTTTTTATTCTAGACAGGGAATACTTCGTTCCTTTTTTTTTATTCTAGACAGGGAATACTCAGTTCCCCCCCCCCTTTTTTTTTCTTATATGCAATGTTTCCTATTGTTTCCATTTAGGGGAATTTGCCCACCTATTTCTTAAAATGTGTTTCCCCAAATCACTGGCACTTGATAGAAGAATTACTTTCACATCTTATACAAAAAATTCCTGCTAACCCTGAAGTGAGTTTTGCTTTTTGCAGTAGTTGCTCACCTCCATGCAACCAGATGCTTTTTTTCCTCACTGCATCTTGCAAGATGGGGGAACGGCTTGCTTTCATGTACTTCATTTTCCCTCAAATTCAGTAATTCACATTCATTCCTACTGAATTTTGGCTTGCTACTTTTGGAACACCTGTGCAACCTGCCTAATTATTTTGACTTTTGAGCACACCTACCAGTTTGTGAGCACTGCCTGTCCACGGAGTAACCCCTGCAGACCTCAAACTTACTTTGCATTCCATAAACACATTAATGGATATTCTGAACCAGGACCATGAAATAACCTCAGAGAGTGCACTGTAAAAGTCTTTGTAGATTTTTTTTTCCCCTCCAGTTTTCTAGTAATGGTGTCTTCACTGTGTTTCCTTAGCATATATTCAGTAATTCACTTGAAGTCATACAGCCAAATACGATGCTCGAATTGCCGTGTTACAGCTCTGCCTCAGTTCTGTGCCTGTATCACTAAACAATACGTTTCCCCTCAGCACGAGAGTGTAAACCCACGTCTCCAAAAGTAGAAACTACACCAGCCTAAATTATCCATGACCTCATTTTTAAAACATAAACGCATCTGCCTTCGCTCTACTGAACAATGCCAGCTTTCACTGCTTATTAGCCCAGGTCTCCCACAAACACCTTTGGCACTGTTACCTCACCCCTTAGCCAAGGGAAAAACACCTAAAAATATTTCCATCGAGCTGTTTCCTATAGCCTCCCAACCTCTCCCTGTGACTCACAGTTCATGATGCTAACGCAACAGCTTGCTGGCTCAAGAGAGGCGGTGAGCTGAGCTGTACACATGGCTGGTCTACCCAACACACGCTCAGTGCCTCATTCTATCCCCACTTAAGTGTTTTCCTGTTCCTTTAGCTCATCTAAGCTGTAAGAGCTTGCAGTTGTTGCTAGAGAGGAAACAAACCACAGGGAGGTGGGCTTCACCCAACGCAAAGAGCTGCTGGCGTGGCAGCAGATGGGCGCCACATCCCGCAAGGAGAGAGGCTGCGATGCCGCCCGGGTCCATCGCGTCCGAATCCAGCCCAAACGTATCTTAACGTGTGTTCCGAGTACAACGATTAGCGCAACTATCCATGCAGTCTTAAAGGGATATGGCGTTTCAATAACAAAATAAGTATATGCATATTACAAAATACCTGAGTCTATCATCTTTCCATTCTACAGCTAATTTGGTATTAGAAAAACTACAAGATTCAACAGCAGGTATATAATATAAAAGTATTTATTAACTTTCATGAAACAGAATATAGCTTAAAAAAAATCTTCTTGGGTCCCTGTTGAACTTTCTCTCTTTGCCCTAAGAAGGAGAATCAGTCTCTCACAGGAATTTGGGGAAAAAAAATTTAAAAATATTTAACCCAAATACAACCATCTTCTAGAAAGCCAAATGTGAAGCAATCTCTGGGCAACAGAAGTCAACCAGTGCATGGAAATAAAACCCCTGCCTCTACATACAAATAAAGAAAATACATAAAAAGTGGCAGAGACTATTTACCTCTATTATCAAAACTTCTAAAAACTAAGTTTTTAAATAGAACATTTGCTGGGTGTAAATAGTACACTGCATAAAACACAGCTAAAGAAATTTAAATGTATCCATCATTTAAAGTCCCAGGCAAAGCTTAGTCTACTAATGTATTTCTCCTGTGGATTCATGAGCTGATCATATAGAATGCTGCCAAAAAAACCACCCTTCAGC